AAGGGTGCACCCCTACTTGGAGGTGCGAAAAAATTCTGATTTCGACGAAATTTGGTATCTGTGGGTTTTTGAACATTAGTAAAATCTACACCGAGGTAAAATTTGACAGGCTTTCTTTCAATCAATAGTACTATAACATTTTAGAGAGAAATACATCGACAAAACCGTTAAAATTGGAAACATGTTTTTTTTAACGTCTTAAATTCGACTGTAAAATGAAATTCACAAGTTTAGCAATTTGTGTTTATAGAGGAAATCCAATATTGCCGTAATAAAATCAATTAATTTATTCATGGATTAGTACGCATCGTTTCTTTTGTAACTTATGTTTCATGCAGAATTTAGTTGTTCAATCTGACCTCGTTATTAGCATAATCGATAAAACACTAAGGGGAAGTAATTAACAGCCTTATTTTTAATTTAATTTCCCTTCGAAGCGCGTCTTTAATCAAAATAGCATCTATTGGAAGTGCGTAATTACGGAAAATTTCGAAACGCCGATATATCGTTTGTGGTTTATTTTTAAATTAATTGAATCGCATTTGTAAATATATTCTTGTATTAGATTTTCTACATCATTAATTATTAGTCTACAAAATCGTTAATGCTCGTTCGTTTACTGACCAAACATCGATATTATGGAGGTGGCCAATTTTGTGTAAAATGCTAATGGTAAACCATAGTAATAGACTATTTACTTTACATTGCTTGTTGACAGTACATAACGGGCGATCAAAAATGAGTTGCTGTCGAGTCGCCTTTGGAAATTCAAGTTAAGTACGTTTTCCCATGTATACAAAAATTCCAAAGGTAACTCGACAGCAACTCATGTTTGATCGCATTGTATTTACAGGCGCCACTTACCTACTGTAATAGATTAAAAATTATCAAATAGGCCGATGGGCAAGTAACGCACAATTTGGGATCGTTGAATTTAGTAGTAGATTCACAGAAACGTGTAATGTGTAATTAACGCAAAACTGCTGATGTTACTAAAAATTTGGTTCAAAACGTTATTGGAAACTCATTTCTCGTCAACAAGTTTCGGGATGGTATGAAAATGAAATATTCAGCACGGGAGAGGGACAGATAATTTATACAATTTTTTTAACCCCCATCTTGAACTGTGTTGTAGTAAATTACCTTCTTTTTTAATGTAGGTATGACTCCGTGAGGTTTGCTTACACCTTGTGCTATTACGGCATGTTAGCATTGTTTCATTTATTTGTGTTTCAATAAAATGGAAATGCTGTAACACGAATTGAAAATGTAGTAAATATACATCGCCAGTGGTAACCTGAATAAATTAGGTACGCACGTAGCTACAGAAGGGTATAAAGCTTACACTTACTTGAGTTTCAAACTGTTGTGTATCGCCATTTGTTGCGTGCAGGAGTGTCCTACTTCCATGAATACTAAGCTTTAGTAACACTTGGCCAGCAGTTCTTGCACTCCCATCGTTAACTAACAATTTGTTACACATTCGGCTGTCAATATTTAAACCCACTCAGATGCGCCTTCTCAGAAAACAAAGACACATTTTATTTTTTTATGCAGACGCACACGGCAGTCGCATTCGTTAGTTATGCAATAGAATCACACGGATGGACACATTTTTTTTTATTCAGTGCGTCCAAATTTTCCACAAAACTTTTTTTGCGTCACTCAAGCACGTCAAGATTCTGAAAAAGGTATACGTCCGTCTCGTGGCCGTAATAAAGATTGAAGTTCATAAATGAGTTACTAAACCTAAAGGTTACCTAATCCGATTTAATAACCACAGAATAAAGTTATTCGGGCAGCCCGTGTACTCGTGTGAAACAAATGACAATACTGCGGGGGAAACTCCATAATAATATAAAGATCTTGAATATTATAAAGTTCGCACCCGGTGGATTTCACGCTTACTGACTGGTTATCCTAAAGGATTTCCTATTCATATTTCACCCCTTTACTTAGGACTACGTTCCGTAAATGTGATTCATTTTAATGGTTCCGCCATTCGTATTTACTTAGCAAATGCAAATTCTTTTTTCTGTAGTGTAAATACTGACCCATACAAAAGTATTAATTTAAACTAAAATGGTTAAATCTAAATCTAGGGGATTTTATTCCCCCTGTCCCTCTTTTTTTGAGACTTTCCTATATTGATTGGCTTCTGTGTCACACGATGGAAAGACCTTCTAAAAATGCCAACAATGCTGTGTACAGTGGTTGAGATTGCAGTGTATCTCAGCTGTTTTTAAAGATAGAGCCTTGCGGCTTCGCGACCCTTTGCCACTTTTTTTGGTGAAACTTTTAATAAAACAGAATCAATAGGTATAGTTTTTCCCGAGATTCATGGTAAAAACGAAAAGTAGAACTGTTGGGATCCTACCGTATCTTACTACAGCGGTTTTTTGTTAACCATCAGCATGCACTTGTTTTAAACAGCCCGCAGTTATTTTTTCACTGGCCAGCATAAAATTGTGGAGAATTTCTACTAAGCCAAAATAGGAGAAAAGCAGTATAGATCTCCCATAGTACGAAACCTCGTGAAATCTTTCACAAAGCAGACCCGTGGAAATTAGATACGAGCCGTAAAAGGCACCATCCGGTGAAGGTCAGCGACTTGCTTCAATTGCAATGATTAGAGAGGTACATTTTTTCATTACTGGCATTTTGATTGCGAAATACGGGTGAATATGTAGAAATCTACGAGGCAAATGCCGGAGCAGTACTCTTCCCCCTCAGCATCCCAACAGGTTTCTTCCGTTCCGTCCCTTGTACAACATACCTATCCCTACATTCCCGTTTTCTGGCTGAAGAGGCGACGTTTTAATTTTTCATTATTAAGGACCACCCTAAAATATCGTTCTTACATATCTGTCCAAATGTTGGGCTTAATTTCGATTTTTGCAATTAGGCACCTTCTTAGCACTTGAACTCCAAACCCAAACACCAGTATGGATGAAAGTACCTACATTCATACATATAGGCACAAGAAAATACAAGCGGCACTATAATTCTATATGCAATTTCGGCTTATATCCCCGCTTTAATAAAAAAAAGTAATCTAGAATCTAATCATCGAAACATCAAAAGAAAATTTGTTTAAGAGCAATTTGGGGTGATTTTATGATATCGATCGTATACGCTGCATATTGTGGCAAAAGTAACGGTCTTATAGCGCTAGGATATTAGGCCGCGGTTGAAGGAATTTCACCAAGTAACCATAAAGTTATATATGCTATATATTATATACCTACACGAAAATTCTACGACAAAGGAACGTATAAAAATACTGAACTCAGGGCTGGTGTTCTTAATTACGATCCATATTTCAATTTTTGCAGCCTGGAAATCGAAACCGGCAAAGCGAACGCGATCATTAAATACCCACCTTAATACAAGGTCCGGACCTATATCGTAGAATAATGGTGATTGGCGGTAAAGAGGATAAAACCTCGTTATTTGTGGAGAGAAAATTTTCCTTTTGCTTTATTCTCAGGCATTAACAGTAATTTTGTCTGCACCTCCATTTTTATGACGCCGTTGAAGTAAACTTTCATAATTGTTGTTTGAAAAGAGCATTTAAAGAACGGACGAGGTTATTCAAAATTTCAACGATGCACTGTGGGTGTTCTTAAGTATAAATTTGGATACCTTGTCGTTGCATTGAAAGAGTGATGATGGATTAGGCGAAGTGCACATACATGTACTTCTTCGCCTGAGTAAGTGGATACGTTGACGCTACGATAAAATAGATTGCATACTATCCCAGAGGTTTAAGTTTTTCTTGCTTCGATTTTTACGCTTTCTTAAAAGATAACTCCCTAGTGTCCACATCAACCCTCAATTAAAATTAATTCAGTGTTTAGAAAGAAAATTTTCTTCGATAGGTATCATTGTGTTTATTTTAAAGAATCCGCACTGAAAGGCTAGGCCGGGTTCATTTATGGGTGTTTAGTTTTTATTTAGTAAAGACGACAACACATAGCATTTTGGATACGAGATACCTGCAAGAGTATGTCGTGTTCGTTCTTTGTTTTTTTCAGTTATTTCATTTTAGAAGAGAGGCTTCATTTATGAGAACGATAACAATTCTAAAATGACCACTGTTGTGTCTAATAGGTAAACGAACTCTACGTGATCGTAACATCGTAAATACCTAAGCCGTTATTAATCAGGTAATAAAGTGTGAGTTACAACTTTCTAAAAAACGTTTGTAATCAAAAGAAAGTTACCGCGTACAATAATACTGCTGTGTGGAGGTTTTGTAGATAAATTTGGCTTGAGAAGTTTTGTTTGTGTCTCTTGTTTCCACTGTATAATTGTGTTGTGAACAGATGAGTGGATACGAGTCAGGGCCCGAGATTTATCACATAGGTTTTATTTATTACGATCTTGATTTTGATGAATAAGCATTTTTTTATTTTCTCATTTCAGCATTTATCGCTATCAATAAAAATATTTTGTTGCAAACTATACCGAAAAAATTACATTTATGACTATTTAATAGCAAAAAAAGCTTTACTGCAAAAGTACAGTCAAAACATCTGGTGATACTCACCTAATCAGTTTAAGTTACGCTTTTTCGTCATTTTTAAATTTGATATCATTACAATCTGCTTCGGTGATCCATACGTACGTATCAAAAAAGTTGATAAGAATGTTGGTGAAAACATTCATAAATTGGCTGAAAAAATCATGTCGTTCTTCACACGTGAAAATGTTAGGTCATTGTTCGACTTAGTAGGCGCCATTATCGCTAGAGCGGATTTTACTTTTCCTTTTCCTATTTCCCGAAAGAAGAGTGTTGTGGAAATACAACAATTTATTTTATTTTTCACTTAATGTCAAGGTTATTGCTACGTTACCATAGAAACAGCACCATGCATGAAAAGGAAAACAATTAACTTATACCTACCATGTATACGAGGCCCCTTAGGGGCCGAGTACTTTCATTTCCGAGTCAGGTAATGTCATTTTACTGACGAGTTTTGTATGTGCAACTTTCATTAATTTTTGATGTTAAATGTTGGTCGCAAATTTCGGTATGTTATTCGAATTTTAAATCATTGCTGATTTTATTTAGAATTATTTATTTAATGATGTGGTTTTCTTTAACTAATCGCCTTTTAATTTGTTTACTTTATTGTTCAGATAGAATTGGGTGAAATGATTTGTTAAAGTTGTCTCATGTTATCTCCGTTCATTGCGATAAGAGCGTTATCGCTGCGTAGGCTAATTAGTTTCAAGATAAGCACGTATCGCAGGTTTTTTCGCCGTAGTGAACACGGGTGTTTAATTTATTCGAAGACGCAGTTGGAAGTGAAACGGAAAGAGAAATTGTTCTATTTACAAAAGACGCGCGCTAATCGTTGCTTTTTTGTGGTGGACGCTTTTGGCGTATCGCAATGAGCGGTAGTTAATCGTATTTTGGTTACAAGACAGCCATCTTGACTCTTTCCAGTTGTACAGTTGTTGTAGAAGATATATAGAGAGTTGTTTAAAGGATTTATTCGGTAATTTAAAAGTGAATGTTTAAGTTTAAGTTTAAGCGAATGTGTTTGTCTTTACCAGTATCTTTTAAAGGAAGTTTTTCCATCATCAAGGGGCCCATTTTACATCAGTAATAAAAATAAATCCAGTTTCGTCTATATCGAGATTAAAAGCCCTGGCAGGATCATAATCTTTTCGTATTTTGTCAGTACTCGTCTTTTATTTGAGCTAGCTGTGCAGGCGCTTGTAGAGTAACTTTAGCGTATTTTCCGCGTATCGATCAGTACGCTAGTTTCTTAATTGTAGGTATTGATGGTAATCTTCAGTGTACTCCTTACTTCGAAAGAACTTAAACGTCGACCACTAATATGAGGACGACGCAAACTTCAAATCGTCAAATAACGGCGACTAGACTGAACTAAATAATTCAAATAACTCCATTTATTTATTTATTTATTGTCCCTCTTGTTCTGGGCCCTCAATAGGCTTTTGTCCAATTACAGACAGACCCGCATAATGCTTTTTAGAAGTGCCTGTACAGAAGGTCTAAAGTTGTTCTATTATACTCCTCCGATATGTACCTTACGAATCAGGAAAACTGCAGGAAAACCTAATTCGGAGTAGCCGGCAGCATACTCGAACTTGATCTAAGAAAATTCCTATATCTGCCACAGATGGAAAATTAGTTGAGGCATATTAGCATGTACGTTCTTTGTAACGTGGCGGTGCCATTTTAATTTAGTTTAGTAAAATCAAATACAAAATACATTTACTGAAAAGGTCACAGAGAATATGACATACAAAAGGTCCATAGGTAATGTTTAACGAATTTATATTCAATGTCACAATTTTGGTTGCTATTGGGATACATTGTCAATTACAAAATAATCTTGCGCAATTTTAAAAAGATTAATAACTCGATTACGACCATTTTCAATTCCGCTGATTATTATGTAGAGACAATTACATTTTTTGCCCAATGAATTCAATTTACTTCAGATCTAATTATCGGGGGCTTGACATCTTTCTTTCGTCCTATTTTTACAGATCAAAATTTAAATAATGTTACAATTTATACTTATGTACAGGTGTAATTAAGTTTAAACACGCTCGCTTGGACACTTTATACGCCCTTGTACTTTGCCAATTATCGTATAGATACTAACTTTATAATTTCAATTCCACCCAGTTGAAAAATGGGGTACTAACTTGCATTGACAGCTAATAACCCACGTCAGAATACACCGCGAATATCACTAATAACGTAATCACATTTGCTCCTCGCTTTTCGCGCATTTAAATTTGAAAACATGGATATGGGGAGTATTCGTATTTAACCCAAGTTGACATGTAAATTTCGTTTGCGGATTTGCATACTTGTGCTTACACTTAATTATAAAATGAGTGCATCCAACTTAGGATTAAGCAATAACATTTGCAAATTTTAACTGCAAGATTTTGCATTTGTTGTAAACATGTGAAGGAAGATCTCGGTGAAAATGAAATGACGTTACGGAACTCTATCCAAAACCTCATTTTCACAAGCGCGTTTGAAGAAAATCTTTTTATAAAGGGACGTGAAATTTATTTATGCCGTTAAAAAGAAAATATACTATTCAGGACCGCATTTTCATAAATGTAATTACTCACGTTACGCCTACCCTTGCATACTGGATATATCAACACGGACCAATTTCTATTCTTCTGCAATTACCAATTAGTAATGTGATGGACTTCCGCTTTAGTGGGGTAATATTTAGAATATTCAGTGAATATCGGATGGAGTCACTAAATGTGGTTTTAATTCGTCGGTGCATAATACCTACACTACTATTTTTAATACCTGAAAGTATATACGAGAAAATCATTTTTTGTTATGCATTCGTGATGTTAATTAAAAGTTCTGCGTCAAGTGGAGATTATATTCATTAAAACATTCGCTATAAATCTACAATAGCAATGTAAACACTGTTACTTTACGTTTGCAGTAATCTGATTAACATTTTCAGAGTTCTATTTCCAAACACACAATAGAAGGTTTAAATACATAACATATTTCATTGCAGACAATATCTAATATATGACCTGAAAAGCAATTTTAGATTCAATACGAATGCATTTACCAAACTTTCCTGAATTCATATTGTATTTTATAGATTAATTAATTCAACAAGCATTACCTTTATCGATTCCTTGAAGGACTTATGGAAAGGCACTGGATTTTTTCATCACTTGCCGTACAATATTTTTACTGACGAGAGCAAAATCGCGTGTGGCTTTTTACCAAGGCAGCGTTAACAAATTTTTCATAAACACGACCGTCAACCAGTCAGTTGTCACTATAAGTAAAAATCCGATGCGACTAAATAACAAACGATCCTTGAGATCTTCACGCGTCCATCCTTTTTACAACTACGTAGCTGAAAAACAACAGCGACCTTTCTTATATCCTTAAGAACATATGTACCAATTTTCAAAGCGATCAGACGTTTCTAAAGAAAGGCGGACGGACAGATAGACAGATAGCAATACAAAATTATAAACGATCTCGAGGATCGTTCATAATTAATTCCACCAGGTTATGGACCCAAGAAGTGTGTACAAAGTATTTGATTTAGATTACGAAAACTCACTCCTGGTCCTTGGTTAACAATATACTATTTTACTACCGTATAGCCAACAGTGGCCACTTTTATATCACATAATACCTCTAAGACATACATTTAAATGAATTTTTTATTTGCAATTTATTTGACAAATAATTAATTATTACAAAAGACCCAAAAATTTGGTAAATTATTTATTAATGAAATTTTTAGAGCCAAATCGTTTAAATACAAATGACATTTTGTGGATAGTCCAAATTAAAGAGTTGCTAAAAGTCAAAATTTACATTTATAACCAAATTTAGTTAGATCCAGTATGAATTTTACTTTAAAATTTGTTATGACTTACAAATAATTCTCTTTAATCTCGGTTAAGGATATCTGACTGTTTGATAGATAAAAAATTAAATACAGACCAACCTTGTACTACAATTTTTTTTCTCTCGATGAATCTAAGACATCTAGGTACAGGAAAATTCCTCGATCCTGAGTTACCGTTAACTCGATTTGGCATTTGATTTACTTGCAAGTGTAAAATGACTTTTCTCTGGCAATAGTGATACAAAAAATAGTGATATGATTTAGGTTTTTTAAGCTTTCCAATAGACTTTCCTTTGGCTAATAAAATTTTATAACAGTTGTGTGTTACAATTTTCGCAATGTTACATAGATTTAAATACGTTTTCAGTTTATTTTGTCACGATGGTGATACAAAGTCTTTTCTCGCGAATCCGCTAATTGACAGATTTACTCTGTTCGTTTAAAGAAAGCCGTCTTTGTTTATTTTATGCACGTAACTTTCCAGTTTGTAATGTTCCTAGGGGGGGGTCTATCAAGCCGACACGGAAAACGTTGACTTACCCTATACTTACGGTTGGCAACTCTGGCAAAAACTACAAGCAGAGCCACCTACCTTTCAAGTCGAAACGATGGTAGTCTCGCGGCACTTTTGAATTTGGATGACAGTCGGCTCGATATGGGTGGAACGAATGGACTCCTACGTTGTGTAATTGGTTCTTTTATGTGTTGGGACGTGAGACACAATCGGGAAGGGAATTAAATAAAAGACAGAACTTTTGTGCGTAAGAAATGACAAGATCAAATAAATATATTAACGCACACACAAGACCATGCCAGGGAAACCTTCTACGGGACTAAAACCCTGGCATAGGCCATACAAATACATAAAATAAATCACCTACAGCAATAAAATGCAAGAGAAAATACACATAAATAAGACATCTCAAATGGTATGATAAAAATCAGATAATCAAATCAAATGCAATTAAAAGTTCATAAAAACAAAATACACAAGACATCATAAATGCAGTGGAAAACATGATAAATCAATTCAGTACAAAAACACATCAAAATACCTGTACGATCAATAGAAATAACACAACTCGTCAAATAAACAAATTGCATGTACATAGGAAACATGTAAATGGTGTGGCTCTACTCCAGCCTTCCGTTAACATAATTTAATTTAACACGAAAAGTACATGTGAGAATGCCATTGGTCAATAGCAAGTATTCAGGTGAAAATCGATTATCGCTCAAACAGAACATATTTTAAATAGAGGAAATGTAAATGAGAGGGCCCCCACTCGTATTGCTAAGATGTTAAGAACTACAATCCGCACGAGACGAGTAGGCAACAGATACAGCGAAAGATCTAACTGCATTAGGTACCTACTCCACGGAGACAGAATGACCCACTCGCACACACAAACATCGAAACATCAAATAAAAGAGCCCCCCTTCGTATAGCTAACGCACAAGAACTGTAGCGAGCCACGAAACAGAAAGTAACAGATACAGCGAACAATCAAACTGTATTAGGTGCTTCCCTCACGGAATTGTTACGGGTCAATCGAACAGAGCAACATCACACCGATAATCAACTCCTCATGAATAACAGAAGTAAATTACTTAATTAAACAAAA